GTAGTGGGGAAAATGTTTGAATCTATCATCAAGGAAGAAATAATAAAATATCTAGATAGAATTTGCCCCATTGGGCGAACGCAGCATGGGTTCGGGAAAGGCAGGTCATGCTTGACTAATTTACTAGAATTCTATGAAGATATTATGAGTGCATGGACACTGGCAACCCAATAGATGTGGTATATCTGGATTTCCAAAAGGCATTCGACAAGGTGCCACACAAAAGGCTGCTGCATAAGATAAAGGTGTACGGCGTTACAGGCAATGTATTAGCATGGATCTAGGATTGTTTAACTAACAGGAAGCAAAGAATAGGGATAAATGAATGATTTTCTGGTTGGCGATCAGTGACTAGTGGTGTGCCTCATGGATCAGTGTTATGACCATAATTGTTTACAATATACATGGCTGATTTGGAGTTGCAGGCTATGTGCAGTGTGTCAAAGTTTGCGGATTACACTGAGATAAGTGGTAGAGCAATATGTGCAGAGTACTTTGAAAGTTTGCAGATGGATGTAGATAGTTTAACTGAGTGGGCAAAGGTCTGGCAGATGGAGTACAACATTGAAAAATGTAAAGTCATCTATTTTGGTAGGAATAACAGTAAAAAGGTCCATTTTTTGAACGGTAAAAAAACTTGCAGCATGCTGCTGTGCAGAGGGACCTGGGTGTCTGACGAAAGTTTCCGACCCGAAGTGTCAACTTTCCTGCCCCTCTGATGCTGCCTGGCCTGCTGTGTTCCTCCAGCTCCACACTGTGTTATCTTGGACTCCGGCATCTGCAGATCTTGCTATCTACAACCTGGGTGTCCTTGCGCATGATTCGCAGAAGTTTGCTTTGCAGGTACAATGGGTAATTAAGAAGGCAAATGGAATTTTGTGCTTCATCGCTAGAGGGATTGAGTTTAAAAGCAGGGAGGTTATTTTGCAACTGGTGAGGCCAAACCTGGAGTACTGGGTGCAGTTTTGGTCTCCTTACGTGAGAAAGGATGTACTGGCACTGGAGGGGAAGCAGAGGAGATTCGTTAGGTTGATTCTGGAGTTGAGAGGCTGGCTTATGAGGAGAGACTGAGTAGGCTGGGATTATATTCATTGGAATTTAGAAGAATGAGGGGGGATTTTATCAAAACATATAAAATTATGAAGGGAATAGATAAGATAGAAGCAGGGAGGATGTTTCCACTGGTCGGTCAAACTAGAAGAGGGCATAGCCTCAAAATTCGGGGGAGCAGATTTAGGACTGAATTGAGGAGGAACTTCTTCGCCCAAAGTGCTGTGAATCTATGGAATTCCCTGCCCAATGAAGTATTTGAGGTTTCCTCATTGAATGTTTTTCAAGCTAAGATAGATAATGTTTTGAACAGTAAAGGAATTAAGGGTTATGGTGCGAGGGTGGGTAAGTGGAATTGAGGCCACGAAAAGATCAGCCATGATCTTATTGAATGGCGGAGCAGGCTGAAAGGACCAGATGGCCTACTCCTGCTCCTGGTTCTTATGTTCTTATACTCAGAATTATAGTTAGCAGAAGAAATTTGTGAAGTTAGGCCTCTTTCAGGTCAGCAAAAAATGTTAAGTGGCAACCAATCATGATCATGGTAGGCCAACTAAATTGTTTTTACTAGCCAATCAAATGGGTCAAGAAGGTCACAAATTTAAGTAATGAACAAAAAGAATTTTAACTGGATGTTAGAAAGAGGTTCTTTACAACTTTCTATTTTAGTTACAGTGTGCAATTCTCTTTCATAATTCTTCTGAGTGGAAAAAAGATCTTTAAATCTAAGGATGGGGTTAATGAAGCATTGGATCAGACAAGGTCAAAATCACTTTGTCTCTTCTGTGACTTTAGTTAAAACTTTAAGAGCATGTTATGGTCAGTTAACTATTTGATGAAAAAATATGCTTAATGATTTTAGTGTTCGACAAGAAAAAAATTTCTAAGGCACACTTATTACCAGAGGAGATTTAACAGATAAATTTTAAATAATTGTATTAATGTTGTTGAGCCTGCAGCATAAGATGGACCTTCTACCAGTTTGTTAGCAGAATTGCTATATGTTTAAATAACTGTTTCTTCATTATCCCTAATTATTTACTGCTCTGTTTAGAAAATGGATGTAATTTTTTATGCCACGTCAAATGTTCCAGTGCTTCTAGCTGTTGCAAATATTCCGTGGCTGAGGGTGACAGAGGATGTTTTTTGCTGGATGAACTTAGTCTACATATGGTATTATTGAACATTTAAAGCATATCTAATTGAAACTGGCTTCATCTGGTAGGAAGCAAAACTAAATCTTTCAAAACAATTAACTCAAATCACTCTCATCACTAAGGATTCTTGTATTTTACGGGACTTCTATCTGAAATATGTCGGTACATAAACTGAAAAGGTTCCCTAATCTCCACTCATTATAATAATGGGGTAACTTTTAAAGTGGGCATAGAGACTGTAGAAATTCTTGAACATTTAGAGCTGGATCTTTAATGCCCCCACCCAATGCATTTTCAGTAGGGGATTGGTGGGGGCCCTTATCTGACTGTTCCATTGATATCTATCTAAAGTTTACTAGGAGCAGCAGGCTGGTTAGCACTGCTGCCTCACAGTGCCAGGGAACTGGGTTCAATTCCACCCTTGGGCAACTGTCTGTGTGGAGTTTGCACATTCTCCCCATGTCTGCGTGGGTTTCCTCAGGGTGCTCCGCTTTCCTCCCATAGTCCAAAGATGTGCAGGCTATGTGGATTGGCCATGCTAAATTGCTCATACTAATCAGGGATGTGTAGATTGGGAGGGTTATATGGGATGGGTCTGGGTGGGATGCTTTGAGGGTCGGTGTGGACTTGTTGGGCCGAAGGGCCTGTTTCCACATTGTAGGGATTCTACGAACATTTTTTATTATTTTTAATCAAGACAGAAAATTCAAATTGGAACATTGACCAGCTCAGCAGATTTCCCCTACGCATAGAGTGTTTTGGAGGTGGCCACACAGATATGTGAGAGTCAAGCCAAGCTGATTTGCAAACCCTGCTCTGAAGCTTTGGCTCAGTTGTATAAAAGGCCTTAGGCCTGTAAATGTGACTCTCAAATCCCTACCAAAACCCATGCCCCCAAAAGCCATTTAACCAGTATTCATCATCCCTTGAGGATTTGAGAAAGGAATTCAAATTTCCGAAATCTAATTGAACTCTCACTCGTAATCATTTGATACTGGAAAACTCCCAATCATGAAATCCATTCAAAAATGTCATATTTCTACAAGTGGTCAATCTGTTGTCAAATCCAACTTCTATTCACGAATCACATCAAAGACAGATCATCTTGTAAAAGTCTCTTAAAACTGTCAATCAAAATACAAACTGTGAAAATATTTGAATTTGATATTAATTTAAAATAGCCTTGCTGAGTTTGAGTTCCTCACCCATGTGATTCTTACCCCATCCAATCTCCCTGCTGTCAGAAATAGAACCTGTCAGTACAAGGGGAGGTGATGGCCTAGTGATATTATCACTAGGCTATTAATCCAGGGACCCAGGTAATATCCTGGGACCCAGATTCATATCCTAACATGAAAGATGGTGGAATTTGAATTCAATTAAAAAAGTCTGGAATTAAGAGTCTTACAATGATCCATTGTTGATTGTTGGAAGAACCTATCTAATTCGCTAATGTCCCTTAGGGAGGGACATTACCTGGTCTGGCCTACATGTGACTCTAGACCCACAGAAACGTGGTTGGCTCTTAAACAATTAGGGCAATAAATGCTGGCTAGAGAACAATGCCCTCATCCTGTGAATGATTCAAAGAAAATGCTGCGCTTCAACATATTGTCTTCCATTATTAAAGTTGGCCTGATATATGAAAATCTGATTCTATATGTGCATGTCTTTCATTTTGATTCACAGTGGTTTTGATTTGGAAGAGAATGCTTTCAGATGTGCACATAGTGAGGAAACCTTTTTTTTTAAATTTGAAAATGGTGCTAGTGCCAACTCTACCTGTCAAAAGTGCAAATGAGTTGCAGCGTGTTTGACAAGTGCATTTTCAATCAAAGAAAAATTGATTGGAAAATAGAGTACTACACACTGTAGAGGTACAGGGAGATTATCAATGAATGCATACATCAGACTGAAGGCAATCCAGAGTGATGGCTAAGGTGGAAATATGCTGATAAAACACCAGCAAGCAAATTGAAAGATGTTTTGTGATACACTTATCTTAATTTTTACTTTCTTGTACCTCAGAGTGAAGGATGTTAGTGCCATCTATTTTTCCATCCAATGCACCAAAACCAATACACTCAAATACAGGTAGTTCTCCTATAACATGATAGTTGCACTCTGTGTGACCTTGTGCTATAGAAAACTGCACAACAGAAAGTTGCGATAGAAAATCATGTTATACGGAAATTGCTATAGGAAATTGCTATACCTGTACAGGAGAAAGTTTGCGTTATCCAAAGGGCATCCGCTATTAATTAATTGCGTTACAGCCAATTCGCGTTAATGAAACATGTGTTATAGCAGAAATACCTGTAAGTTATGACAATTCAGTCTAACAACTCTGGTCCCCCATTAATCTGTCTCAGCTCCAACATGAGGAGAGCACTCCTGACATCATGAGCGAAACATTTGTCCCCATTTTTACCAGCAGCAATTTTATGACCACAATTAAATTACAAATTTGCAGAGCTAATGAGAAGTAAATCAGGTATGTTTCATGTAATGTGCTATTTCTACTGGCCACAGGATTAAAGTAGTTCATCGTAGAGCTAAACACTCAGCAGACAGGCAATTTCATTGTATTTCTCTGCATTAGAGTTATACGCAAGCATTGAACTGAAAGACCAACATCAACCCAGTGCATTAAGTGCCTCATAACTTATATTTGCAAGGAATATATTAATGTTTTAATTGTTCATTGTTTAAAATCAAATGAATAAAATAACTACATAACAAAACGAAGAAGACATATTGGTAACTTCAGTTGGAAAAGGATTTTGGATTCACCTGTGGCCGAGGGTGACCTCTAACAAGGCAGGTTAGCTCCAAGGTTTCTCCTTCCCGAATTGTGTACACTCTTTCTGTATATCTTTCTTCTTCTATGTTACATGCTTGACCAGAATGCATGATGCTCACAGTTGGCGGAGCTGAAAAATGATAAAAAAAAGGTGAAGTCAGTACTAATTATACAATGCCTGAATAATATTTCCTGTTCAGTGAAAATCCAAGACCTTTTCTATCCCGATTTAAATCAATTCAGCTGCTGTAAATTCCTACTCTCTGAACAATGTTCCACCCATATAACATTTGTATGTTTACAGCACAGAAGCTGTACTCAGCTCAGTGAAACGAGCTGTTAAGTGGCGGTAATTCTGTTCTCTTCAAGTTTGCAGAAAGTTACAGATGAAATACTTCATATTTCAGAATATTCTGGAGGAATTGGCCAGTCCTTACAAGCATCTGACTCTGCAATGATTATGTGCTAATTGGCTAATGCAGAAAGGACAGTTGTGCAGAAAAAAAAACAAGATTAAGAAAATAGAGTATGGGAGAAAGGCAGATAAATTGGTTTCTTTTCATTGTTTGTCAGTGTGTGACAAGGCAGGATGTGCATTCACTCCAATATTGTTTGCCCATATAGTGCTTTCCTCATGACTAGTGAAGCATCAAAACAGAAGATACTTCTCCAGGGAGCACAAGAACAACTTTGGCATTGACTTGAAAATAATACACTTATATTCCATATAACAGCTTGGTTCAATAATATCAAACACACATACATACCTGAAGACTGTTACATTAAACCCTACTTCAGAATTGCAGCATGCAATTTGAACTAACACTTCAATGAAGAATTGAGAGACTGCCACTCTGTTGGAGATTCTATCTTTCTGAATAAGTTAAATTCAAGATGTACACCAGATAGATGTAAAATATACCAATATACAACAGAATTCATTGAAAGACAGAGGATTGTTCTCATTTTTTGGCCAACATTTCTCCCTCAATCACCACTACCAAAATAGGTCAAAAGAGAGCTATTTGTGATTATAATCTTAATATTGCCTTCTGAAGTACAGTTTTCTATAAATACAACGCTATGCTCCAGAGTTAAAGGAATTCTGTACTGAAACAGTGAAGTATGTGAACGTAATTTATAAGAATCATGTTAGTTACGCCTGTAACTAACTGATATTATTGAACCAAGCTGTTATATGGAATATAAGTGTACTATTTTCAAGTCAATGCCAAAGTTGTTCTTGTGCTCCCTGGAGAAGTATCTTCTGTTTTGATGCTGTGAAGAAGGACAAGTAAAGATCAGCTGCTGCACTGAGTCTATCCCATTCTGGCACCGTGGATCTTCTGCACATAATCATCCCATTCCTCCACTCTGCTGCTAAAGCAGCCAAATGATTTTCGAGAGAAAACATAAACATCACTAAACACTATATCCAGCTGTGCTAAATATTTGCTGGATGATATTATGAGATAGAAAACCTACAAAGATATAAAATGTTAAATTATATTGACAGTCACGCTTAATCGTTCAAGGACAGCAATGACTGAATGGTATACTTTATCTTATGAAATGCTCTGCTAAATTGAAAAAAGCTAAATTATCATTGTAGTTCAATCTTGTACATATAATAAAACTGATCTACAACTAACATTCCTTTGAATAGCAGAATGAATTGCTCGCTTCCTTCAACTGTTTCATTACAAAATAGCATTTCAGAAACTGTTTTAAAATTTAAAAAAAACAAGTTAAAAATGATGCTAAATTAAAATTTAGTGTACTGTATGTCGAAAATCTGAAATTAAAAACATAAAATTGCTGGAAATACTCCGCAGATTAGGCAGCATCTATGGAGAGAGAAAACAGTGAAAGGCACAGAAATTTCAATGGCCAGTTTGTTGTTTCTGTAAAGTCGATTGAACTGCACATGGAACCGTGTGAAAATCCCAAAACGCAGCTGATTCTATGGGAGCTGTTCTGGAAATAGAAATTTCCTTCAGCTAATTACCCTGCATCTGAAACTCTCTGAAAAAGTCCCTTATAATTGTAGATTTTGGAGGGCTCTGACTCATGTTAAATATGCATAATGGGAAAGTTACAAGATTAAAAACCTATTCTAATTCCTGGGCAACTATTAAACTGAACCACTGACTCACCACTAACCCATATAAAACTACACACACCTGACACCTGACATTCTCCCAACCCAAAATCACCAGCACACTTCAACCCAACTGGACCTGATACTAGCTCTTTACTCAACCCTTTGACCTACCCTAAGCACTCATCTACTTCCCTGATACCAAAGGATCTCACTTATCTGCCTTCCTGACTCCTCACCCACATGGTACTCCAATTCCCTCATGTGTCAGCCACCCTACCTCGACCTTCCATCTGCTACCACAATGCCAAACCCAACTATTGCACTAATCCTTTACGCAATGACACCCTAATCCTTCACCAACCTGGCACATTAGACCCTACCCACATGGTACCTTAACCCCTTGCCTACTGACACTGTCACCCACCAGCCACTCAATGTCTTCAACCACCTAGTATCCTAACCTCTCAACAAATTGGCACACATGCCCCTACCCCCTCCACTCTCCAATCTCCAAAACCATATGTGCCATCTTATCCATTCTCAGCAGCTGTCAGACTGTCTGAAGGACCTTTAGACTACAAAATACAACACTTGCTGTAAACGGGGCATGGTTTCCTAATTGATTCTCCCTACTGCTGGATTGGTCTCCACTGTTTCATACAAGGAGGCTCCTGTCCAGGAAATTCCAGGACAGAACTGATCAAAGGTAAGTATGTATGTTTTAGCCCAACTAGACTTAAAATAGTGTTTCTGACCCTGTTTAGAATAACTGGGCCATCACAACACTTCAGGTCAATGTTCTTTATTCAGAATTGCAAGAAATCAGCACGAGTTTGGAAACCAAGTCTCTAGAAATTTTAGGAAAATGCATGTTTGAATGTAATGCTCCCTTCATGTTCTTGAACCGACAATGCTATTGTACCAAAATGGCACTATGTTTATATAGAATAAGAGAACATGCATTAATTCACACATCTACAGAATTCCAATCATTGAAAAGAAATGCTTCCAAGGAATTAGCAAATATCTGTTTTCCCTCCTGCTTACAAGATTACTTTTCTCTATCCCTCTGACACAGTAGCTGACAGCTTTACATAATTACAGATAATTTACCCCTGAAATTCCTATCAATAAGCCAAGATGGCTACTCATCATCAACACTGCTCTGAGCATCATAGGAATTTGTCTCTGGGTTGTGATGTCCAGTAGAGGTAAAGACAGAACAGGCCTCTCTAAGGGTAGCACCAATCAGCACCATAGAATGTTCTATAATAATATCCAAAGTATCACCAAGCTGGCTATTTGCTGCCTGGCAAATACAAAGCATTTGTCTTCATTTATGCAGAGACTGTCAGTGACTTGAAGGTTTTCTTGGAAAGCATTATGAAGGACTCGGTCACCTATAGCAACCACATTGAATACAAGTCCAATTCTGTTATGGATGTGGTCTGTGTCCTCAACTGCCAAGGAAAACTTCTCTATGAATTTAATGGTGGGAGACTCTGAAGGAAATATCTCAACACTGCGCTGGTATACTCAGTACTTGCTTGGATTGGTAATTTACTTTCCCAGTCAGCCACAGAGAGCTATTCTGATATGAATATTACATCTGTTAGCATCTTGTTGGCCTCTTTTGTCTCTTCTTCAGGAAAAGAATCACTAGTTAGTTACAACACAGTTCACACAGTTTCAGTCCTCAATAGTAAGATAGCAAATCTTGCAAGTAGTGAAAGGAACAGGACAATTCTCAATAAATTGTACAAATGCAGTGCAACTATCCTCCTCACTATAAGAATTCTGCCCATCTCTTTGAATGACAGTTTCACCAATTGGAGATGCAGACTGTTGACAGCATCTCTATTGACTACTAGGTTATGGTCATCTCAAAATCACACAGAAAAGAACCCGAAATCACTCATCTTTTGACAATCATGGTAAGAAGGATTCCTTTGGACCACTGCAATAACAGACAAACAATAAACCCACAGTGATGTCTTTGTGGTCTGGAGGCATTGTCATACCAAGTTGGCATTGAGCCAATGGATTACCCAAAAATTGGAAAAATCCACAAGAGTACTGCATTCGTAGAAACGCTTCAAAACCAAATCAGTGAAAGGTAGTGGACACCTCACTGTGTTGCCTATTTAAACACAAATGGGGAGGTGTTATGTAATATTTTACTAAATTCCTAAAAGCTGGTTTAGGTAAAAAATGATAATTTATGATGACTTGAAAATCAGAGCTAGGGGCAGTCAAAGTGCCTCAAAGTTGGGAGTTTTATTTGGGGAGCACATGACTGAATAATATGATTGATTAAAAAGCCTGATGGCTTGTCATGCTTAAACTAATCTAACATTTGCACATTTATTCTGTTCCAAGTATCATTGGCTTGCACAGAAAATATTGCCTCAAAATATTGCCACATATAGATTGTTTTGAAGAATTAACTTATTCACCATCATTAGGTTCTTTCATTGTTCATGGAAACATATAGCTCAATAAACAGCAACTATAATTAGCAATGAACCGATAGAAAAATCACAAATGTGATGATGAGATTGATTAGCGAATTGATTCCTTGAATTAATTAAATATAAATTGATAAAACTCGAGGATTGGTCATTCAAATAGGACCGCCCTTTTAACAACATATAAATTAAACTTGGTATCCAAATATCATTTATTTAATCACGTCCTTTCTCATATGTAACATGTACAAGTGGATCTATGAAGCTTGAAGAACACACACACAATTTAGAAACATATGTTGATAAAATTTACTGTTTAGATCTAACCTTGTTCATTATAAAAGTAATTTGCCTCAATAACATGACTATAAATGCTCTCTAAACAAAGATGTTGCAACTAAAAGAAGTTTCAACTTCCCTTTCCAATGTTTTGGCACTAAAATCAAGGTTGATGCTCCAGTGCTATACTGAAGGACTCTGCACCCTTGAAGGTGTCATCTTTCCAAGACTCTGTTTGGCTGCTCAGATGAATAACAAAGGACCACATGGAAGTATTTTGATAATGAACAGAAGTTATCCTCAGTGTCCTGGCCAATTTCCATTGCTAAATCAGCTTCAGAAAGGCAGATTAGCTTGTCATTATCACATTGCTACTGAAATAACTTCACAGAGGCCAATATCCCATCACCAAATCACCGTTTATTTGCATGTGGAATGTCCTTGACACGAACCAGCTTCCTCAGAGCCAACTCTTAGCATGAACAGAGCCTATGAAATTCCTGTTTATATCAGCCAGGTCTCCCTGATTGGACCAGGTTGGCAGCCCCA